CTAAAGCACCTACTTAGAACAAGTTTAGCAACGCACATGGATCGCAGTTCAATCCCTCAGCACCACATGCCAGCCCGCCCCGCCCCCTGGTGGGCTGAGCTGGTCTCTCTCTCTCTCTCTCTCTCTCTCATAAATACATAAATAAAAAAAAAAAAAAGAGCTGAGCTAAGGGGCAGGCCCCCTCCTTGAGGTTCTTATACTAGCAAGAAGTAGTTTTTTCTTTTCTTTCTTTTTTTTTTTTTTTTAAAGTACCTGGGATCGAACTCAGGACTTTGCACTTGCCAGGCAGGCATTATGCCTCTGAGCTCTCTCTCTGGCCCTTAAGTATGATATTTGCACATGTGGGTCTGATTTATTTCACTTAAGTTTATGGTCTCTAGTTGCATCCATTTACCCATAAAAGCCTTGAGTTTACTTGTTTATTTATTTTATAGCTGAGTAATACTTGATTGTGTAAAGATACCACATCTTTTTTATCCATTCCTCAGTTGATGGGCATTTGGGGTGTTTCCACGATTTAACTATGACACGTGCTTCTATAAACACTAGTGCACATATATCACTGTGCTATGATGTTTTCGGTTCTGGTAAAATAGCTGGGTTGAATGGAACCTCTAGTCCTAGCTTTTTGAGGAATCTCCATAGTGGTTTTCCTAGTGGTTGTAATAGTCTGTACTCCCACCAGTATTGGAGAAGGGTTCCTGGGGTGAGACAGAATCTCAGTGTTGTTTTAATTTGCATTTTTTGAATGCAGGTCACCTGTACTTATAAACCTCAGTTGAGGCCAGAGATGTGGGATAGAAGGATCCTCAGTGGCCAGGTTCATAACTGCCTCAGGAAGTAGCCCAGGGAACTGCAGGAAGATGTTACCACGTGGGGAGGTGCTTCCCTATAGTGTAGTGGTAAAGAAGGAACTTGGTTGGACTGAAGAATGAGTCAGTCACCCAGTGAAAGAATCTTGCCCTGAACTGGTCCTAGGTTCAGTGTGGACTCTTTCTTCTCTTCTGAAGGATAGTATCTAGGCAGAAAGAAGACAGCAGTTAGGCTGGAGCCCAGGCCTGTTCCCATGGAGTTCTGGAAGGACTTCTGCTGTGTGAGGTACAGGGTGTGGGCATAGGTGTCATTTCATGGAAGGGGAGCAGAAGCTCTGCAAAGGTAGGCCTTTGAGAGGTGATCCAACTGCTGGTCAAAAGTAGGGGTAGGATTTGTCTAGCTGGTGCTCTTTTCCCTACCTGGTCTCCCCTTAACTGACATGCATAGGGATAGGAAGGATTGTAGCAATGCTTGGATCAGCCTGAGGTCTTCTTAGGTCCCTGAGGCCTGGTAACCTCGCAGTTTTTGTCTTAGGCCCAGGACATAGTCAAGGCCCTGCTTCTGTCTTCCTGTGGTCTGTGTGAGGGTCACAGACCAAAATCATGCTTATCGCTCCATAATAATCATGTCAAATGTATGGTAGCAGTTCCTTTTAGTCAGCATTCTGTACTTGGCAGCTGTTGTCTCAGTACTTTCTAGGGAAATTGCAAAATAGAGCTAATAGTAATAAACTTCCTGTTTTTCTATCAATGTGATTGCTTTGCTTTTTTATTTTAAAGTTATCTGAAACTGGCCAGTGGCAGCATCTTCTTTAGGAAGTCCCTTGACCTTGTCTTCAGGATCACATTTGGGAAAGAGAGGGTTCCCTTCCGTAGCACAAGATATGTCTGTAAGTCTTCCTTGCCTGGCTGATACATAGAGCAGGCAGAGTGGAGTTGAATTGGAGCAACTTTGGTCTCCCTTAGCTGGGAGAGAGTTGCTTATTCTTCCTGTTAGAATTATAAGCGAATGTTTAGCAGTAGGCTAGAAAGAATATAAGTGATCCTAACCCATGGTTACAGTTGGTAAGGATGTGGAGCTCTTCCAGGTAGGGCTAGTAACATAGAAACCAGTCTTAGGAAAGGAGAAGGTCCATGATGCATTTGGTGCTGTTTAGTGATTTGATGCTAATTTAGTGATTAGCTTAAACTAATGATCCCTGTTCTTCCCTCTCCAGAGTGTGGCTTGGAGAGGATGCAGCCAGCAGCATGGATAATGGCCTGTCCCTCCAGCACTTGCTTTTTCCTTTGGTTGTAAGGCTCAGGTGGTCAGAAGAGTTCATTCAGGCCTATTGCACAATGACATCTGTGTTGTGTATCATGTGTCCAGGCACAAGAGATCCTTTGTGGGCTGAGATGCTGTCACTAGGGCAAGAACATTTCTGCTCGAATCTTCCCTCAGTGAATGCCAAGACCTGTTCGGCTGATGTTCAGCAATGGTAACTGTTCATTCTGCTATACACAGAACTGAGAGCTATACATCTGTTTATAAAAACCACAGCGTGCAGGGGAATACCCTTGTCTTGAATTTCCATCTTGATGTGGTGAGCTATTTTTGGCTGAGTGTTATTGTCATTGCACCACTGATGGTGGACATGAGCATGCACATTTGCATTTGAAGCCAGTCTGGCTTGCAGGTGTGCCAAACAGCCAGAGAACAGGGGAGTCCTCAGTGCTGCTGCAGGTCCTCCTCCATTCATCCCTGGCCTAGATGAGTCTACCCCTGTGGCCATGCAGCCAAGGAGCATCTCGCTCTGCCAGGAAGTGGCTCATTTTCCAGAGTACTCTTGGTGATCAAAGGGATGGGATATGATACTTCTTTCTTATTTATTTATGATTTCTATTTAGTTTTAGATGAGTTTTCAGATGCTATGCTGTTGCAAACTGAGGGTTTTGTAAACCAACCCTCAGATTCTTTACCAGCACCAAGACTGGGAATGGGGGCTCAGTGTTAATGATTTGGAGAGGGGAGCTGCATTTAGTGGGTGACAATCTCTCAGAACCTTCTCTACCACTCTCTGGCTGCCTTTGTTCGCTCCAGTCTGGATGATACAACTGCTTCTTGAGCACAGAGAAGCCAAGACCTGTTTGGCATCAGCGAGTTTGGGAACTAACCTAACAGAACAGTGTACTTTTTTGGGTGTATTGTTAAGAAATCCAGTTATTAAGACAAGCTTGAGAACTTTTCATTATCATCTAGCTTTATTTCAAAAAAATACAAAAATTACTTTTGAAAATACAGTTGGAGTAGCATACTAGGATGAGATATGATTTTAATTAGAGAAATACTGTTTTTTTTTAGAATTGTGATGATTTTCTTTCATTTTTTCCCCCTTTATTTCCCTCCCTCCCTACATTCCTCTCCTTTTCTCTCTCTCTCTCTCTCTCTCTCTCTCTCTCTCTCTCTCTCTCTCTCTCTCTCTCTCTTTCTTTCTTTCTTTCTTTCTTTTTGGTGGAACCGGGTATTGAACCCAGGTCCTTGTGCTTGCCAGGAAAGCACTTATTCTACTAAGCCATCTCCCTGCCCTGTGCCACCCCACCTTCTTGCTATGAAGTTCAAGCTGGCCTTAAACTCAGTTATTACAGGGATATGCCACAAGGCATAATTGCCTGCTTTTTTTTTTTTTTTTAAATGACAATCATAACAAATGCACTATGTTTCATGCCCAGAACTGTTTCTTGTTCAGTCTTACTGTTACATGTTTTGGTGTATTTTCAAAAGATTTACATAGTAGAGTACCTCTGCTTGGTAATCTCTCAGTGTGAGTACAGTATCTCCTACACTGTCCCAATCCTTTCTCCCAGAAGAATCCTCTTGCTATCTCACATGGTTCTTCCATGCATCATTTCCAAGGCCTGAACTGCATTACATCTCTTTTCCTGTTCCATTCAGATAGCCAGGTCCCAGCCATCCAGAAATTACCTTGTCAGGAATTGTTCCTGGCCTTTGACTTCCTCCCAAAGAGGCATATCTCCAAAGGTTTAGATTGGAGATGCAGGGAGAAGTAGCAGTTAGGTGAATGGATCCTGCTAGTTTGATTTGGTAGAATTCATGTTCTAAAAGAAGGAAATAAACTAACACATAACTAACGTATCTTAAAACTACCACTATGGTGTGAAGTTGAGTGTTCCATCCATCCATCTACCCATCCACATATCTGCCTGTACATGTAGCCATCCATATGGGAGATTTTTGCAAGCCTGAGACAGGTACAGTGGGGCAGGGAAGAGGCTGTCTCAGAGGACCTGTACAGGAAGGCTGAACTCTATAAACTGAGGAACAGGAGGTGGGGACTGAGCTGCACAGAGTCCAGAGACGGCCAGAGCCAGGAAATCTCCCAGCCAGCTGCATCAAACCTTCTTCAGAGGGCAGGTCTTGCTATGCAGCTTTTAGGAATGCTCTGGACCCTCTCCTGGAATGAGCAAACATGGGCAGTCAGGCTTTTGCTCCTCCTGCTCTACATCTAATTTCTGGAGGCATCCAGACTTCCTGATCTACAAGTATCCTATGGCTGTGGAAGGCCCTACTTGGGTTATAGGTGGATGAAAATCTTTGTTTGGGGTTTGTTATATCAGGTAGGAATTTATATTTCCTGCCTTCAGTAAAAACTGTCTTTCCAGGAGCTTTTGATAAGTGCTCAGGCTAGCTAAGTACAGGAGAGATGTCTGTACCTGTGTACAACATGTTAAAAAACAAAATATTAAGGATTGTCACAGAAATGGGTGCTTCATTTTGCTCATCAAGCTTTGATGTAACTCAGCCGGAGCTCTTGGTCCCTAAACCTTCAGCCTGGCTGAGGGCTGTCTTTTGGTCCAGCTCTTCCAGAACTCTATGTGAGTTCTGTCTGAGTCAGTCCCTGTCTTTGGAGCAGCAGATATCTTTAGTGAACACTGAGGTGTTCTGATCTCCTGAAGGCCTGGAATTGCACACTCATAGGATGTCTTCTCTGTCAGCATCATACAGCTTACATAGTTGTGAAGCCACATTTGACAGATATGTAGCCCATTCTGTCCTCTGCCTGTGTCATAGGGCTCTTGCTGGCCTTTGTGAGTATGAGATGGGAATGGGATGTTGTCTAACTGGGGAACTACTGGCACAAGAGGCACAGCTCTGTCATTGCATGTGGTGATCTTGCCTTCCCTCCACAGCCACCTCCCCACGTGTGTCTTCTGAGCTGGAGCAGGCCCGGCCGCAGACAAGTGGAGAAGAGGAACTGCAGCTGCAGCTGGCACTTGCCATGAGCAGAGAAGTGGCAGAGCAGGTCAGTGTCCTGGATGGGTCTGAACCACAGTGTTTGCTGGACAGGGTATGGCTCCCAGGGAGTGTGGTGAGACATGCATCCCTGTTTTCAGAGCATCTCAGAGGTGCTTGCTGAGTTTACTTCATGGCCACGGCCTTCAGTGCATGAGGGAGCCTATGCAAAGTCACATTGAAGAAGGGTTTTTGAGGAAGTCATTGCCAAACAAGTGCTTGCCAGAAACATGTGTGCAGATATAGCTAGTATCTGAGGTCCCTCCCCTGAACGAGCAGAGTTCACATGGCTTCCTCAAGGGGCAGGCATTACAGTGCAAGCATAGGAAGCCGGCATGGTGAGCAGGAATGGGATCTAGCACCCCTCCCACACCACTCCCCAAATTGTTTTGAATGGCAGTTGCACAGGGAGGGAAAAGGCTAAAAGGAAATACTATTATTTTTGTTTTGTGGTGGTGGGGATGCAAAACAGATCCTTTGGTATGTTAGCCAACTGCTCTACCACTGAGCGATATTCCCTTAAGCACTATATGTGCGGTTTTCTTTTTTTTAAACTTCCCCTTTATTTTATTTATTTATTTATTTATTTATTTATTTATTTATTTATTTATTTATTTATTTATTTATTTATTTGCGGAACCGGGAATTGAACTTGCCAGGGAAGCGCATATTCCACTGAGCCATCTCCCCGGCCCCTTATATGTGCGGTTTTAATTTCAATTTTTTTCTAGCTTCTGTTTATCATGTATCTTTCTTTCTCCTTCCTTCCCCTCCCCTCGCCTCCCCTCCCCTCCCCATTCCTTCTGACAGGGTCTCACTATGTAGTTCAGACTGGTCTTCATCACACTGTATAGCCCAGGCTGGCCAAGAACTTCCTCAGCCTCCCAGATGCTGGGATTATGATGCGTACCACCATGCCCAACCTGTTTTTCTTTAGTAAACATGAATTATTTTAAAATAGGGAAGGTGAGAAAAGAGAGCTTAAAGTGACCTCAGTAGACATCCTTACCTCAGTAAACAATTATCACAAAGGTAGATGAAGCCAGAGGTAGATCTAGGACACCTGCCATTTAAATGGTGTTCAGAGAAAAATTTTAGATGGTTAGATTTGATAGTGCTTAGGAGGGCTCGCTGAGAAGCAGAAATAGGTAGATGGCTTGAGCCTCTTATCTACTATCTTTCCATCCATCCATCCATCCATCCATCCATCCATCCATCCATCCAAGACAGGGTCTTGCTATGCAGCTTAGGGTACTGGTCCTATTATTATTATTATTATTTTTTTTTTTTTAGGGTACTGGTCTTGAGCTTACTTTGTAGTCCAGGCTGGTCTCAAACTTGCAATTATCCTCGTACCTCAGCCTCCTGAGTACTGAGATTACAGGTGTGTGGCACCAGGCCCAGCCCAGTTTGAGCCATTGATTGATTGATTGATTGGTTGATTGGTGGAACTGGGGATTGAACTCAGGGCCTTGCACTTGCCAGGCAAGCACTTACTCAGTTTGAGCCTTTTAAAGCTAATATTTATAAGTAAAATATGACAGTATGTCCTAATCATTATATAAGAGCTAGGGCAAGCCTGTCTTTTGCACATAGTGACTGTGCCTTAAATAAATATGATGAGTCATTTGCGTTAAAA